ATTGGTCCAAGGCTCAGGTGCCTCCTGGTGGCCAACCAGCCTCTCTGCGCCCTGCTCAGAGTCGGAACCCTGTCCAGGGTCCTCCACATTCTCCAGAGCCGATTCATCGGGCCCCTTGCTGTCGGAGTCTGGTGGCAGCTCCAACGGCTCCTGCTGGGCCACAATACAAAATAATCTTCCCTAAAGGCAAAGCTTTTTTTTTATTAAAAAAAACCAGTCTAGTTTAAAGTCTGGGATTTCCCTAATAAAATTAACCAGATCTGCTCTTGTTTAATCTCCCCCCACCACCCCACAAGGTCATTTAGATGTAGCTATCTGTAGCTTTGTAATCCACTTTTGGTATCTTTGAACATATAAAACAAAATCAGACAAAGAACAATGTATAAATAATGTAGTAATCCTCAGTGGCCATGGCCAGCAACTTTGGGAGAGTGTCAAGATTCTTCCAAAGTTGCTGGGGATACTGTATCCTGATTGTAAAAAGAAAAATTTAAATGCATGATAAGCAATCACATTAACTGTAGTGAGGTAATTAAAATCTAATTACATTCCAATTAAGTTTTTTTTTTTGGCTCAGCCCTGTCTGTAGCATGTCATTCAAACACCAAGGGTAGCTCTGTTCAGAAATGATTGTACATGCCTGGTCCAGCTAATGCATTATGAAGCAACACTTTCTAAGGCTGCAGTGAACTGCAATAGTCTAATTACCCCTGCAGATCTACTGCTTAACTGATATGGGTCACAAGAGGTAGCTCTAATTCGTTTTACTAGATCCAGCGTTAGATATAGCTCCTCACATAGTCACTAATTGCAACTATGATTTGGGGAAAGCCAACATAATTTGACATATGTTTATAGAGGCCAAATGGAATGTAACTCAGATTAGTGAGTTGGTCCACTGACTGCCAATTTGATTCAATCTCATAGTTGCTAGAGGATAGAGGCTTCAGAATAAAGTTAAAGGAAAGAAGGAATATCATTGTTATAAGTCCCGTCTATGAAGGAGTGTCATTTGATGTGACCCAGAAAGAAGACTTTTCTGCTGTGGCACCCACTCATTACATTATCCCCCCGGAGCTTAGGGTTGGCCTCAACCCAACTGGCCTTTAGGGAAGTTCTCAAGATATGGCTTTGGCATCGTGCTTGGAGGTCAGAGATCTTCTTTAGAAGTGATTTTGATGTAGTGACTTATTTGGCCGCTGGTTTTTTTAAAATCTGGTTTTTAATTGACAGTTTTGTAGATCAATTTAGCTTGTTTTCAATGTTGTTTTTAAATTGCCATGATCTGCCCCAAAAGATAAGATGGGTGGCTGTTGTGGCTCAGCAGGAGCCGTTGGAGCTGCCACCAGACTCCGACAGCGAAGGGCCCTATGAGTCGGCCCTGGAGGATATGGAGGACCCTGGACAGGGTTCCGACTCCGAGCAGGGCG